AATGTAATTTTTCAGCTTTTCTAAACTGAATTAGAAAATGTTTACAACAATATACGTAATTAACATTAGAAATAGACTTATCTTTAGTAAATGTCAGATATTGCAAATTTAAATGGACATGAACTAGTTACAACACTTTATACCATTAAACCTCATTTTAATCATGTGCACAGGTGGTGGTGGGGTCAAAGTATGCATGCCACAAACTTTGGCAGAGGGCCATTTACCATATTATGTATTTAATGTCATAGATATTAACTACTCATTTTATCCTACATTGCTGGGTTAGTGACAGTTTGTGGCAGTGAAGAGTAATACCAGATACAGTATTAAGGGATACTGAAAAATACTTTAGATATGCATTTCAGATGTTCTAGAGATTTTGTAATTGCAATATGCAAACTGTATGATGGACAAAAGGGTTTTGTTTTTCATATAAACATGATCTTGCACTCCGATTTGTCAGAGTCTGAATCAAACTGATGTCATCAGTTCCCAGACACATGTTGGCTATATTTACATTTGTATTACATGTGATTTTTTGTGTACAGCAGATTGTATGTTTTACTAAAATATTGCCACATTTCATGTAGATACATGTAGGAAATTTGGAATTATAGACGACATTCACTCTCCAATACAAGGTAGATATAATGGACCAACCACATGCACTGTTGGCTAAATATTAAGTAAATAGTATTTGGTCCATCACATTAAAAAAAAGTCCCACCTTGTTTTAATTTAGATGAAACTTAGAGCAGAAAGGCAGAGTTGCCAAATGGTACAACCAGTCTGATAAAATCTAAAATTACAATTATAATTTTTGTAAAACAAAATAAAGCTAGCTATTTATTATTCATATATATTATGTATTTTATAAAGTCATAATTCTTACTGAAGTTTCAAAACAAAGATATTATAAGATACCAAATAGGACTATATACCAGAAAAGAAGCTATTAAGTACAACTTACAAGGAAAAGTAACTTCACTGAAAAAATAAATTGAAACCTCAACTCCAAATTTAAAACTATGTACTAAACCAAATGCTGTTCAGCACACTGTAGATGAAAAAACAAACAAACTTACTTTATTCAAGTGTTTTTTAGAAATGAGGAGTCACCCCCCCCCCCCTCATTGCTTGAGGTATATTATTATAAAGCAGCAGAACAGTCAACAGTGATGAGTAGAGCCTCTATATGAAAGAGAACTTGCTTATACATAAACTAAAGTCAGAGATTAACCAAGTAGATTCTGCTTTTAAACTACTCTTGGTTTTACGAAAAAAAAAAAGTTTACTCACAAATAAATTTCCATTGGAAAATCCCTTTCCAGTAAGTCAAAAAAGTAGCAAGTTATTTTTCTCTAAAGTTTCTATCTTTTACAATCTGGCCTTCAGTAAGTAAAGGTTTGGACCATCTTGTATAGTTTGATGTAAATTTTGTTTAATTTCTGTGTTTTTATGGTGATTAATGCATACACCAAAGATTATTGACATTTTCCAGTATTTTTGTTTTCTTTCTAGAAACAATAATCAAGTTTGACATAGTAGCACTGAAGACTGTATTTTTCCAGCAATTATGCTCTTCCTCATTCCTCAGCCTCTTAACAATATCTTCATGTTATTTCTAATGAAGTCAGGCTTTTTGGAAAACTGCTGTGTTAATGTTGTCCCACTTCTCTTGTGCATCTTAAATAAATTACCTATTATCTTGAGTGTAGGACTTCGAAGCACACATTTAAGCAGACCATAGGCACAAAGACTGCACTGGAGGATTTGGTGGAATGTGGTTATTGTAATGAGTTTTTTTGTCCTTCTTTTGTTTTCACGACAATAGCCATTGATTTTAAGGTGTGGCTGAAAACTTGTGAACCTTTGACTAATGTGAGCTTTCATCAATGTGAAATTATTGTTTATTTTGTTAACAGTACTAAGAGATGTACTCAGTTTTATTACAATGGTTTTTCGGATCAAAAGACTCATAATCATAGCCTTTTTTTATGGAGGGAGTGTTGGTCCTGTTTGATTTGGTATGTTTTTCATAGCCTAATGTTTTACAAATGCTGAGCTGTGTGAGTTTTTCCACTTCTATAGAAAACATTGAAAACTTCCTTCTTCAAAATGTTATGTCCTTTGACTTTACACCATTAAAGATTTTGCCTAATAAAGATTTCTCTTCAGAAAGAATGGTCTCTTACCTCTAGCTACCAATCAAGTATTGGAGATGTTTTATAAGCCTGATAAACTTCATTTGCTTTCCTATACGAGACAGAACCTGTTTATTTCACTATTTATAATTCTAGAACCATATGAAAATTCACAGGTAAATGTTAGCTAATTTATATGCACTTTCATAATCTGTAGATGACTTTGTAGTTTGAGACTATATTTACAGACAATTTTAGAACTCAGGTTTCATTTACTTCACAGTGGCATTGGTTGATTTTTTTCATATTTAAGCTTATTTGATGTTTATTAAATTTCTAACTGTATTTAAAATATGAAGTGGACAAATAAGTAGACACAATTTAAATAACCAAACTGATGATTAAGGTTATCAGCTTACAACTTTGGAAGAATTGAACAAATGGGGATGATTGAAAAGAAGGAAGGAGGTTACCCCTACACCTCCTTAGAAGAATTTTGATTATTTCAAATTATTCAATTATAATATTTTTTTCTATTTATTATTACCATACATAAGAACAATATTTGGCTTTATTGAGGTTAAAATGTAATAGTTCTACAGTTTTTGTCAATCATTAGGCCTATGTTCAACACAACTATAGTACTTGGTGAGAGGCCTCATCAGCACTGGATGTGGCAGCCATGGCAGGGTTTACATATTATTATTCTTTCATCTTTACTTTCACTCGTAAATTCTTAGAAAAATGAAGTATAGTGAGTAAAGATACAAATCTGTTATAATAATACTCAATTTTTGTCTGTCTTGAAAATGCATGCACACCTTACTAACTAAATGCATATGTACACACACTTCAGCAGATGTAGACATAAGGCCCATTCCAGGCAATAATATGTTTGAAAATATAAAAAAGAACATATACATTGTTATTATTATTTTCCTATGCTTAGAGGCAGTGATATTTTAAATACTGCTTACTTATGGCATAATGGTATGTGCCTATACTGCAGTCTACTGTATGAACAATATTTTGTGGAAGTTACTCCTTATTTTTGAGGACCAACTTTTGTTTTCCTGTTTTATGTAACTTGCCAATTTTTTGTTTTAAATATTACAAAATAGTATTTACTGGCAAAGACCCATAAAACATTGCATTCAAATTAGTATCCTTATTGTAAATGTACTTCTTTAAATACAGGATTTCTAGAATAATACGAAATAATTCTAATCGCAAACTCCAAAATTGATAAGCCCACTTGTCTTAGGCCTAAGATTAGTTAAACCTTTATTAAATATGGCTTGTATTCAATAAAGAGATAAATTAACACTGTAACTTTTATACATATTTTGCTTTTTATTTAGTTAGGTATAAACTTTGCTGTAATTAATGTGATCAATAAATAAAGTTATAGTGTTTTTCTGTGTTAGATGCTCTTAATATGTTGTACAAAATGTCTGCTAAAGTATATTTCCATCCACATATTGTTTACATCCATTAAAATGAAGTACACATGCATGCACATTTAGATAGTAAGTAGCAAGCATATTTTCAGGACAGACTAAACTGAGTATTATTATAATAGATAGTTTTTAAGTAAATCATATGGATGCTTTACTGACAATTTGATGTTGGCTGATGAAAATTAGAAAGTTGTTAATTTTATTGCACATCTCTAAATTGATACAAAATGCAGGTTTATGCAGAGCAAGAATATTTATGTTATTTTATACTTATTCACACTGTCTCCAACTGAACTGTGGAATATACTTTTATTACTCAGAATGTTTTGTTTTCTTTCAATTAATTTGTTAGCTTATGAAGTTTTAAACTGTTTCATATTTTCTTTCTCATATACTGTATATTATATGATTTGATAAAATAATTGCAAAATATTTATCTGTTACTCAAAATGTATCTTGAGGTAGGCAACCAAATATATCATAACTGTTGGTACTGTTTGTGTTGGATAAAAATGTCATACAAAATTAACTAGAATGGAATAAAAATCATTTAATTATTACAATATAAATTAGCAATGTCTATAATATATACAAATCAGAGTTGTCAGTCTGATGTCTTGACATCCGAAATTGTGAGAAATGGGCTAAACCAACTTCGATAAAAGTTGCTGAAGAAACTTGCATGTAACCCCTAAAGATAGAGTTTAAAAGATTAAGCAATCAGACAAAGTGTGTTTAGCAGCTATTTCAATTTTTTACTAGGAAGCTGAATCTAAACAAAAGTGATATTTAATTCTGTGTGTATCACAGCTACCTTAGCTGACTGTCAGTTTTCCATAAACATTCCTTGCAAATGATGCATATGTATGCCATCCTGTCATCCTTGTAAAACCAAAGAAGAAATAAAAGTCACGTGAGGTGCAGGTATATGTGCTAATACTCAGTAATTTATCATTTTTTTATTAGCCACAGCATAGTGGCTCATAGAATGGTTCTGAGTTTTTAAGTACAAACATTTAGCTCATAGCTCTGTCATCTCTTGACTGATTTGAGATCTAATTACAGTTTTGGATTCAGGAGGTCTAACCCTTTTTATTGATGTATTTGACCACACCCAATCCTTCCTAAAAGAATTTCAAGTGCCATGGCTATTGAGGATTCCCTCTTGCTATAGCTACAATAATTAATTAATTAAAAATTCTTCTGTTGGCTGAGTTTTAGAAATAATAAGCAGGCTGGGTAAGTAAATTATAAAGAATCAAATGCTAACAAGGAATCATGTATGTCATTTACTTTTCGATGTAGGTAAGATTTCAGATGATATATTTAAAAGTATACTCTGTTTTCAAAAGAAATAGGACTGTAATACTTTATTTTGCATTTATGTTTGCAGTATGTGTGCATGGATGATAGAACAGTTTGGTTCTGAAGAACAGAAACAGCACTGGATTCCTTCTTTAGCTTCCATGGAAAAGTTTGCATCTTATTGTTTGACTGAGCCTGGTAAGGTTTAGGTGACATGTATTTGGGTTCTCCAGTAGTTCTAATAAATGTGAAATAAATGGTTATTTTGAAAGTTATTTTTGTGTGAATAAAAATACAAATGTACATGTTACATAAAACATAAGAAATATAATATTTTTAAGAATTGGAAATTAATTTCATATTGGCTAAAGTTCCTTGAAAACTTGATCAATTCTAGAAAGTGTAGCATAATTGTAATGGTTAGTTTTTCTCTTTAAAGTTACTTAAATCTCCTTGTTCAAAGTTAAAGGTACTTTTATATTATTAGCAATGCATAAACATGTTACCATTATTTATATATATATATATATATGTGTGTGTATTCAAACTTTTTACTAAATTAAATTGTTTTATGTTTCTATTTAAAGTGAATACTTTTGGACATTCATTTCATAACGTTTTGTTCTCTAAAAAGTTTTTTTTTCAAATCAGCAGGATATTTTTAACCATGGTTTATCTCGCACATATTTCAGCAGTTTTATTTATAATATTCTCTTACCCTGCTTAATGATTACAGTACATGTACAGTGTAAGTTACTAAATATAAATTTGTTGTTTACACAGAGTAACAGAACAGCTGATTTCATTGTACTTCAACTTCAAGTAAAACATCTGGTAAAAATACTAAATATTAATGATTATTTAAATATCAACGCTATTATTCAAAGATACTTGCAAAACAGATTTCAAAAAAAGTGTTAGAAAGAAAGATAAAAATTCAGTTAATATATCACCCAAAATATTTTCACCATTTTCTGAAAACTTAACCAATTTGTTTATTTGTGGGAGCACTTTAAACTGTGTTGTATGTTAATTTTTGAGTGTGATGTCACTGAAAATTAAGTCTTGTTTTTAAATAAAGGAAAAATTCACCGTTTGCTGTTGTTCCTTTCAAAGGTAGTGGTAGTGATGCAGCTTCTCTAGCAACAACTGCAAGATGTGATGGTGACTTCTACATTTTGAATGGAAGCAAAGCTTTCATTAGTGGAGGGGGAGATACTGACTTGTATGTCATCATGGTAAGGACAGGAAGCCCTGGTCCTAAAGGAATCAGTTGTATTCTGGTTGAAAAAGACACCCCAGGTTTAAGTTTTGGCAAAAAAGAAAAGAAGGTAAGATGTATTTAAACACTTAAAGGTCATTTTTCAAGAAAAAACTTAAACTTTCAGTATTGTACAGGTTTCAGACATTAGTCTTTAAAAATCTATAGGTAATCTACAGAATTTTCAATGGAATCTCATTAAATGATGGGTTAAGTAAGCTTAAACGTTAACCTTTTTGTTTAAGACTTCATAATAAATACTTAAGTGAGTTATTTAGTACTGCTTGTTTTAGATACTTTAATTAAAAATGTTAGTTGAGAAGCATAATGTATAACTTGATATCATTATTAAGTTTATTCTTAATATGGATGGAAGGTAATTTTATTCCAGATTGTAGTTCTAAAGAACATTATTACTGTTATATGGTTTTCATTGTCTTTTTTCTGAAAGCATCCAAAATCACATAAATATGATTTAAAAAAAATTATATTTAGTTTCTTATTCACACACTGTTCCAGAAATATTGTTTTAACCATCTACTGTTTTATTTATAAATTAAGCTAATTGTTAAAAATTGTGTTTCTCACTAGGTTTTATGTGTCATTTTATGTATGATTCCAATTTTAATTTAATAATATAAACCTAAAAAAAAATCTGAAGTTGGCCCTAACTGTATAATATTCACTATCCTCTTAAGTTGCAATGCAATATCAACATATTAACAGTAAAATTATAAATGACATTAAACATAGACATGCATGGGAAAAAAAGAAAGGTGAATTAAAATGTTAGAACATATTTAACTAACATGACTACTACTTTAATTATCCAATATTCTCATTGTATGCATGGAGCAATCTTCTTGCATTAAAACGTTTTGGTTCCTTGAATATATATTTTCATTGTATTCACTGGTGTACCATACAACCCAATTAATATCCTTATTTCACACTGAGAGCTCCTAACATTCACTATTTGTTTGTCCAGAAACTATATACACATTAGGTATTTTATTATTCTAGAGGGGCTTTTAATTAGATTGCAATTATCTTAGCAAGTGGCTGTTATTTACATAACTAATAAGTAAATGCAGTTATGTTATGGTAAATTCTGAAACTAGAAATAAATTTTTAAATAACTCTAAGAGTAAAAAGAACTACATGATAAACATTTGAGTATATTTTAATTTCAGTAACCTAATTGATAAATGTAATAAATTTAATTTGTTCAATGTGGAAATTAAAAATGTTGTAGATAATTTACAGTTGTTTGAAAAACAATAGTTTCAATCCTGTGGTTGCTACATATATAGTACACAATGAAGAGTCAGGTTTGATCCTTAATAAACCAGAAGGTTGCTTTTAATTTTGTTGTAGGAGTTGTATATTAGAAAAATTTTTTTCTAACACCTTTTTAAGTATCCTTAATTTAATTAGCTGAATGTTATTTTTACCTGAAACAGTAAGGCAAGCATGTATGCCTGATTATAATTTAAACCTCAATATAATTTTTGGGTTGATAAAGCAATCATTGGTCAAGTTGTACTTAGAGTAAGCTGTGTGCAGTCAGTATTCTTTCTAAAATATTTCAACTGGCATCACGGTATGTTGGATTCTATACAGTATATCCTAGAAAATGCAAATACAGGAATTATTCATTATTTGTGTGTATATCACTGCTATGTTATTTGTTTCACACACTTTTTTTAAACCATGGTATTCTACAAGAAGTGTTGTTGATTAGCTAACACTGCAGTAATTGTTGGAACAAATAACAAATACAAGGTAACTATTGACTAGGTTTTTGTATGTGATAAGAAATTAATTTGGAGATTTATAGCTGTATGTATCACCATTCTGTCAGACTAATCTATGACATTGCAAAAATGAGAAAATGAAAACTCTAAGCAAGATCTGCTGCTGCTACTTCTGTTCTTATAAACATAAAGTAAAATAATTGCTTTTAATTAGAGCAGAAGAAAGGGTTTTTCATAGACAATGAAAATAATGTATTTGAACCATCAATTCAAGTGTAATTTTAAATTCAAATCTCAAGCCTAATTATCACATTCCACTTGTGATTGAGTTTGAATTTCTTTTTTGAATGTCAAAAAAGTGAAAAAATGTTTCTACATTTCTAGGTGGGTTGGAATTCTCAGCCAACTCGTGCCGTGATTCTAGAAGACTGTAAAGTACCTGTGAGTAATAGACTTGGAGAAGAAGGACAGGGATTTAACATTGCAATGCAGGGATTGAATGGTGGAAGAATAAATATTGGTAACATAGTAATTTATAACCTAGTAATCTTAATTCAGTATTTTATAGATTGGAATAAATATTGATTTATTCTTTGTGAATTGTATTGTTTAAACAACATATTTTATAAATACATACAGTTGAATACAAATTCACCATCATTCAAAGCATGTGTTATATGTAGCTTTCCACTTCTGATGTGGTGAAATTATATCCAATTTAATGTTTAATTGAAGGGCTAAGTCCTCTTGAGTTTTGTGAACATATGTCAGACACTACCTACTAAACTTATTTTTGGACTGTGTAACATGATTCATTGCACTTGGTAATATTGTATCCATCCCAGTAGTCGATTGCATTTTGTTTGAAGGAAAGCAAGTTTATTTCATTGTTAAACATGTTCTATCCTGCTGAAATAACATTTTTTATATTCATACAGTACAGGTGGGAAAAAAAATATACAGAAAGTATATTTACAAAACCAAAAAAGGGGTTGCATACAATGTAATTAGAAGGCACAAAATTGTATGCCACACGTACATATTTTTATAATCAGTACAAATAACAGTGAGGTAGTGTTGCAGAAGTTTCAGTTTGAAGTTTTGAACTCACTGCTGTTTTTATAGCTGCAGGTTGTAAAAATAAGTTTTTTAGTGTAATTACATGCCAGAAATTTAATACCAAAATAGTAATAATAGGTGTTTTAGCTTGCATTGAAAATCCTTAGCTAATTGACATACATATGTAGTACTTAAAAGAAAGTTATGGGTTGCTACTAATATATTTTACAATAATTAGCACTTACATTTTAAAAAGTCAAGTTGAAAGAATATTAAAGAAAAAATTAAATAGCATAAATATTTTTTCCATAGACCAGTACAGTTAAAATTCACTTAATGATTGTAAGCTTACTTGTGATGTTGACCTTCACACCAGAAGAGTCATTAGTAGTTGAGAGAATAATACTCTGTCATAAACATTTGTTATTTGTCATGTGCCCTTTTCTCTACTTTATTGTACTATAATACTAGCAGAGAACTGCAAAACATTTGCAATCAAATTAGTATCTTTATTGCAACAGCACTTCTTTAAATAGAGGATTTCTAGAATAATACAAAATAATTCTAATCACAGAAGTCTAATCACTTGTCTTACAACTAACATTAGTTAAGCTTTTATTAAGTATGGCCTATATTTGATAAAGAAACAAGTTAACTGTGTAACTTGTGTACATATTGTTGCTTTAGTTTAGTTAGGACTAAATGTACCATACTTTAATACTACCAGTAAATGAACTTATAATGTTAATTTATGACCTAACACTATACCTTTTTAAAAACTTTGATAAGCTTTTAATATGTTGTACAAAATGTTTATTAAAGTATATTTATTATATCTGCCTTTTATTTACCTTGATTGAAATAAAGTGCATGAGCTGTGTATTTAGATAGTAAGGTGAGTGCATATTTTCAGGACAGGGAAAAACTCAGTATTATTATATTAGATATTATCAACAAAACAAAATACAATTACCAACTACTGAACCAACGTTTTATAAGCTAACATTCTTATTACAAACTTAATGAAATATATCTTATTGTAAATAGAATACAATAAAAATTTTATATTAACTAAAACTTATAGTTTGAAAGATTAGTCATTACAATTGAAAAGAAAAATGAAATAGTCTATTGATAATTACCATATAACAGAATTAGAGAACTTGCAGTTTAGAATGATTTGATTATGTTTAATTACTGTAAACAATTTTTGCAGTGTTTTGCCAAAAAATTAATTATTAAAATGTTATAGGTTTTCTTGGAGTATATGTGTGGGATATGGCCAGTTAGATTGGCAAGCTCTGTTTAAATTCTCTAGTTTACTTTTTACATAAAATATAAGAATTTATACACAGCACATATTGAAGGTATGTTGTCAAAGGTTAGCTCAGAATAGTAGTCTCAGAGCAGTCTAATAATTGAAGGTATGTTGTCAAAGGTTAGCTCAGAATAGTAGTCTCAGAGCAGTCTAATAATTTTTGCAGCCATTTTACTGTTCAAAAGTACCTATTTAAATATTAATAAGCAACAAACTAGTAAATCTCTCCATTTTAATGGCTAGTAGCCTTTTTACCACATAAATCTTTATTATTAATTAGATAATAATTACAAACTAGTTTAGGTCATATCTTTTGACTGATATATTGAGGGAATCCCTTAGGATGACTGTGTTTTGTGGTGGTAGTGGCCAAGATTTAATCCTGAATCTTCTTAATAGAAAGGCTGGTGTTCTGTCCTCTTGTCTGGAGCTTCTTCCATTACATTGATACATTATAACATTACCACATCTTACAGATAAGATAACAGATTTTATGAACCACCTATACATAAAATATCCAGTGATAAATTTCATACAACAGAAAACAGAATACAACAAACACCCATTCCTAGACATGATGGTTATCAAGACACACAACTTACATACAATTTACAGGAATCCCGCAGAGGCTGATAAGTAATAAATACTTGATTATAAATCAAACCATCCCAACAGTGTGAAGAAGGTCATCATAGACTGGCTAGTCTCTAGAACAGGGTTTGTAACACAGAAAAGGCTAAGAAAAAAGGGAATTAAAAACACATCACTACAATCCTCCTGTACATTGGATACCCCAAACAGTTGGTAAAGAATAAAGTAAAGGGGATAAGCACTAAGAATAAGCAGGAATATTTCTCATATTTCAAAGTTCTATCAGAAAGCATAGAGATGGTATATATAAACAGGATTCAAAACGTAAAGGCTATGAGAATGTTGTAAATGATACTGGGAATAGTGGTGCTTATTTCAATAGCCAGCTATGGCATCTACTTGTATTCTTCATTTTTCAATAGATGACTTATTCTTTCAATAATGCAAACTTTGAATATGTCTGTAATCTCGCATTTAAATTTACAGCTTCCTGTTCACTGGGTGCAGCACAAGCAAGTCTGGAGTTAGCTGCTAACCACCTGAAAGTTCGTAAACAGTTCAATAAGCCTCTAGCAGAATTTCAGGTATTTGTTAACCTTACTTCAGTGGTTTATACTCTATTTCATTTTATGGATAATAATACATGTAACATTGAAATGTTTTTGTACAGAAGAATCATGGAACTGTGACACTGTTTTAGTGTTCTAAGTCATCACTAAATTAAGTCTATGGTTTGTGTAATGCTTCATTTTTGTTATCCTTATGTAAAAAAAATATTGTCAGGATAACCTGAGGATGTGCTTGAATTATTACTACTACATTCAAAGCTGGTGTTTATATGCATTTTGTATATGGTAATACTGGCTGGTTTTGTAATGAGTTTAAAAACTTCACACAAAATGACAGTTGCTCTTATAACTTAGCTTATTCTATTGTTTATAAACCTGATTTTATAATAGCTTCAATGTTGTAATAAATGGGACTTGATAATGTTTCTTTCATATACATTAATGACTAATGAGTGTTACTGAACTAAGACTATAGTTAATATATTGAACATCAGATGTTTGATTTATAAAAAGGAATTTTGATAACTTCTATTCCAGCACAACCAGTTCAAACTAGCTCAGATGGCTACTAATCTGGTGGCATCAAGACTTCTGGTGAGAAAAGCAGCCTCATCCCTTCAGCAAAATCTTCCAGATGCTGTATCTCTGTGTTCAATGGCTAAACTGTTTGCTACGGATCAATGTTTTGATGTAAGTTAACTGAAGAGAATTCATCAGCAGAAACACTGAAAATATTGTACGTTTAGATACAGCAAGTTCTTTTGAAAGGCAAATTCAATTTAAGAGTAGAGAAAATTTCCAGGTGAGAGGCTGATACAAGTCTGTATATACACTTAATTAATTATTGTGTTGTGTAGATATCCATACAGCTGTCTAAGTTCTAGAGTATAAACATACAGCTGTACATATATTATGTTAATAATAACTGAATGAAAGTGTCTGTATAGTTGTATGCCAGCCATACTATACCTGCTTTATCCAGTGCTGATGAGGCCTTTCGTCCAATACCAAAGATCTTCAGGTCAGCTGGGATATTAGAGTCATAGTAGTAATGGTTGAGATACTATTTATATTAGTAAGTTGCTTTACAATGACTAGATTAAGTTGTTGAAATGTAATTTTTCGTAACTTTGTATTTATGTTTCAACACATCAGAATTAGGGTAAGGATTATTGAACACTATATTATTTATTTATTGTAACACCATATATTATTGTTATTTTCTTAAATTAACCTGCTTTCTATTCGGAAAAACTGGCAAACCAGCAAGCTAGTCTTTGTGATTTTGTCTATTGTAGTAGACTCTCTAGGTGAAGTTAGCTTGGCTTCAGTTCTTCCTTACACTTATTATACTTTCTTTGATGTTCAGTCAATGTGGCATGTTAAATTTCCCTTCCATTATGTTAAAACATTTTTTCAAGTGTTAACACATAATAGATGTTTATGACTTGCATTGACTAGTTTTAAACATTTGTTTAATAGGTCATGATGCAATTTAAAGAAAGTAAATTGTATTTATTTGACCCACACATGCAAACTTTTTTTTTACTCTATATATACACCTGGAAAAAAGTTAAGCACCCCCGTGTTTTTTTCAAGTGATTCAGATTCGACGTTCTTGTGACCAAGGAAGAGTGTTGACGGATTCATTCTCTAAATAAGCCTTTACTGCCCTAGAGCGATGAGGTCTA